TTTAATGATATTGCGCTTTAATAAAATGTATTTTTGATGTTTTTGGTTGTAGGTACACTAAATTGAGCAAGTGGAGCAAATGGAATGAAAATAGAGCAAGTTGGAGTCAAAGAAAATAAAATGAATGAATGTGGACGAGTTTTGAAGGAGTGCTTGAAGTAACTCTTGGTGATTTTGAGAGCACTATTTAAAGAGACTTCTGGAGATTCAAAGGGGAGTTTTTCCAGAGAGAATGAGAGTCTTCTTAGAGAAGAGAGTGTTCTTAAAGAGAGGAGAAAGTCTTGAATGCTTGCTTAGATTTGAAGGTGAAGAGGAAAAGTGAGAGATATCATCTTCACTACAGTTCTAAGTGAGATTAGAGTGGAATTGCAAGGAGAGTGAGTGATTCAAAAGAACTAGAATGATTGCTTTGGAAGGAGTTTGCGATAAACTGTGTATTTTATTTATTTTACTTAATCTTATTTTGTAAACTTATATATATCTATAAATCCATGTGTTGTTGTTTCTTCCCCATGAGATTTGAGTAGTTTCTTTTGTCTTTCTCCCTGCTATGAGAAATAATTATGTCTAGTAATGAAGTTTAGTAGAAACGCTTTTAAATACATAAATTGTGATGATTTAAACTCTATGCTTAATTTACTTATCGATCTGACCAATTGATTTGTTAAAATATGTTGTGAAACATAGTGACTCGAAAGGGCTATGCTTTCTTCAACAAAGTAAGAATCACATTTAGTCTCATAAATGATAATTTAGTTCATGGGATTATGTGCAAATAAATAGGGAAGTAAGTTTTGATGGACGTAGAATTGAAGGTTTTAGAGTGACAGACTAAAATTTCCAATTTATTCAAGATGTTTGGAAACTAAAGCGAGATGTTAGCCTTCAGGTGAGGGGTAGGTGTGAACTCTAGAGTGACAACTAGCATCTTCCGAGCTCAACCACGGGTTTAGGGACTTAACTAACTCTAGATTAACCAATGTTCTTCATGCACTCGAGAGAGGATAAAGAATAAGTATGTTCGTATTTCACACAATACATTAATTATATTTAAAATTATTTGATTCCTACATTGATTATAAACTCAATGTAATGGGAATGATGTTTTATATAAGTTTGAACTCTTCTATACATTGAAATTTTAGAATTGCTTAGTGTTAACTTTACATTTTAGTCTTTTTAGATTGTCTTGCATTTACATTATGTATTTGGTTAGCATACTTAGCATTCCTTTCAATTATGCAGGATTAGGTAATATACAAAAGCATTTTATCATTTCCTATATAAGTTAACTACAGTTTAAAGAGGGTTTTATTAAAGTCAGCCTATAAGAGTTTTGTCTATCTTTGTGGGATCGATACTTAGGACTCCATTAGAGTCCTATATTACTTAAAAAAATACATATACTTGTGTATTACCCATAATGTGTAAAATATTTTATTAACTTTATATAATGTTTAATTTTGCACACTAGCCGCTAAATATAAATTGAGTCAACATTTTGGTCATATTTTAGAACTAAAATAATTGTGTAATTGTAGGTCGGGTCAGGAGGCCACTCAAGTTGAAGATTCATGGGAGAGGAAGATTCTCATGGATGAAGAAATGCAATCTTTTGAGTCAAATATGACTTGAGATTTGACTGTACTACCAAATGACAGTAGAGCACTGCACAATACATGAGTTTATATGCTAAAAGAGGAGTTAAATGGTAGCAAGCGCTACAAGAAAGACTTACTGTAAGGGCTTCCAACATAAGAAATGAGTGGATTACACGGAGATCATCTCTCTATTGGTGAAGATGACGACTGTCAGAGTAGTGATGAGTTCGGTAACAGTGAAAGATCTACATTTGGAGCGAGTGAATGTAAAAATGACTTTCTTACATGGAGATCTGGGGGAGGTGTTATACATGGTGAAACCACAAGGTTACAAGATTTCAAGCAAAGAAGTTTTGGTTTGCAAATTGAAGAAGGGCCTTCATGGCTTGAAACAGACCTTGAGTCAGTGATATAGGAGGTTTAACAGGTTCATGTAGACGATGAGTACTTGAAATGCCCGACAGAACACTGTTGCTTCATCAGAATGCATCTCTTACATGTGGATGACATGTTAATTGCAATTGCTGATATGGAGAAAATTGAAGAAATAATTATCAAGTAAGTTTGAGATGAGGGATTTATGTTCAACCTGGAAAATCCTCGGGATGAGAATCAGCAGGGACAGGAGTGAAAATACACTGAAGCCTCAGACATAATATTTTGAGAAGATCCTACATAGGTTCAAAATGAGCGAGATGAAACCAGTTAGCACTTCTTTAGGAAGTCATATCAAACTATCTAAGGAGCTATTACCTAACTATGAAGCAAAGCAAGCACAATACTTGGAAGTTTGATGCATGTGATGATCTAAAATAGAGCAGATATTTAATAAGCAATAGGAGTGGTCGACAGGTACATGGGCAATCTATGCAAGCATCATTGAGAGGCGGTAAAGTGGATTCTTAGGTATTTAAAGGGAACAGTCAACAAAACACTTTATTATGGAAGTGTAGAGATCAATCTACAGATATTTGTAGATTCAGATTTGACAGAAAATGAGACAGTAGGAGAAGTATAATAGGGTATATCTCTACCTTGAGGAACAAAGCGGTGGGTTGGGTTTCCATGTTAAAAAAAGATCATTGCATTTTCATTCGTGAAGACCAAATATATTGCTTTCACTGAGGTTAACAAAGAGACTATTTAACCACAAAGTTTCATGGCAAAATTGGGCAAGGAGCAGAGGATTGGAAAACACTACAGTGATAGTCGAAGTGTGATTCATCTTGCTAAGAACGCATCTTTTGATGTCATGATGAAATACATTTAGTTGAGGTATCATTTTATTCGCTCTCTCCTTGAAGATAGGCAGTTGTTCTTGAAGAAGATACACACAGTTCAAATTCCTGTGGTTATGTTGACAAAGTGGTGACTGTCGAGAAACTAAAGCTATGCTTGGTTTTAGTTTGTTTTCATGAAGGTTGAGATTGGGGGTGAGCCACACCATGGTACGTGATAATGAAGACAATTTAGTTGGAGGTGCAGGTATAGAGGACCGATTCAAGGAGCAATTAGTCTCCAAGTGGGAGATTGTTATATTATGGAGCCTAATTGGAAGCAGGATAAGCCGACGCATATAAACCGACCATTGGTGCATATGTTCCCACTTGATGTGGGCACAACAGAGAAGGGGAATTCATGCGCCTTTATTTAGGCGCTTAGGCGCCAACTTTGGCACTGACACGTAAGCTTGGCGATAGGCACCAAGTTCGAGCGCCTATGCGCCTGGAGCAATTTTTGCACGGAATTTGATTTTAAGTCTCAATTTCAAGCGACGTAAGCTTTAGGGTTTCTGTGGATCTTCCTTTGACATTCTTTAACAAATATCTCGGTAAAGGTGACAAGGGTAGAAGAGGTGGATTTCAGTAATTCAGTGTGATTCTTGCGTCGAATTGGAGAAAAAAGATTGTGGAGCTTGTCCTGTAAGTTTCCTTGTGTGAGAGAGGAAACTGACGTGGGATCTTTATAAGAACTTTCTGAATTTCATAGTGGAATTTAAGGTGATGTGGTTATGTGGTTTATTCTCATTCTCTGGTTTTTCCACGTAAAATTTTTTGTGTTATTTTTTAAATTGCTTTGATTGTGCTTCCTTTTAAATTTTGTTCTGGTTTTCTCAAATTTATACGATCATGTTATTTCGTGGTATAGTTTAGTTTCTAATTAATCATAAGATCCGGTAAAATTGGGAATTGCTCATGGGATTCCGATAAAAAAATCACAAATTGATTAGCATTAATAAATAACTTACGAAACTTAACCAACATTTAGGGCAGTGATGCGGTGACACTGTGGTGTCACACTGCACTTTCATATGTTTAGTAAAACTTGTTTTATCTCATTTTTCAAAATTCGTTGTGGGAGGTTCGTTTTGCAACCTGACCTACTAAGTGTGGTAGCTATCATAAAGTAGCGGCCTGATTTTTTGAAAATAAAATAAATTTCTAGTAGCACCACAACCTTTTGAACAATAACTTCGTAGTTGTCTCTTCAAATAATTGAAGTTGCCCCAAATATACCCTTAAACAAAGATTATATCAGCAGTGAACCATCAAGCTAAAATTGTTAGACGTTGAGTGAACAACGGACTTCATGTCCCCATGCCAACTTGAGTTGTAACATACTAACAATTAATAACTAATAAAATTACACTTTTTATGAGAGATTTGAGTAAATTTAATCATAAATACACTTTCACGCTGTATATGCAAAATCATAAACCTAAGGCCATTTAGTTGAAAGGTTGGCTCTCAACCAATAAGCCCAAGTATATTACAAAAATTACACTATATATATTTTCAATTGAGTTTTATGTGCCACTCAAGTGTTGGTTTTTTCAAATAGAAAGATTTGCATACATACCACTTAATTCCTATGTATTTACACATCTAATACCTATACTTCAATTATTATATCAGTCAATACATGAAAATATGTATTTCATGTTTAAAAATTACAATTATGATATTTTTGATGTGATATGAAAAATTTGGGTGGTATAAACATAAAATGTAAAATTTAGTAGCTATGCAAATATATAAAAATTCGGTGGCACTTACGTAAATAATATGGGAAGGAGTTATGTGCTAGACTACTCTATGCAATATACTATTTCTTCCCACTTTAAAAGTTAAGAAAAATAAAAAAAAAAAAATTGATAAATTTTATGACAGATAAAAAACGAAAGAATTTAAACACCTAGACACAAATGAGTATAAAGTGATGACTTAAAAGATTTGAAATATTACCTAATCAAGCACACATTACAGACCAAGAATTCTAAAAATATATTGAAGATAAACAACATCCTCATTAATCTCTTTTTTTAGATAGAATATTCAATTTGGACAACCACACGTTCGGATGGTCAACTACCAGGCGACACCTAACACCCAAATAAAGGATATAATGAGATGATGCTCGATGGTTGGTTGTCCAGACGAATGTTGCTCGACGGTTGGTTGTCTAGACGAAACATTTATTTTCTTTTTTCCAAGATATACAAGGTAGAATCTATTTAAGCTTATATTTAGAAGAGTTCAGTTCGTTAAGTCAACCCCAACAGCTGCAAAAATTTATTTGAAGAAAAATTTCATCTTTTCAAAACATAACTCTCTTCTCCAATTAGAATTCGAAGAACTGGACATCCAAAAAAAAAAAAAATTTTTTTTTTGAACGATCAAACGAAGCCTGGCACTAAGCCCTAATCGCCGCATTTAATTTCTGTTTCCTCCACCCTGCTCCGCTTCAAAGCAAGCAGTTCCTCCACCATCCTTCCCAAGTCCCCCTCCGACGCCCCTCCTTCCCTCACCGCCTTTTCCGCCGCCTCCTTCATCTCCCTCGCCTTCCTCCTCCTCTCCTCCGCCTCCTCCCCTCCCCCCATCACCCCCTCAACCGCCGCCGCCACTCTCTCCGCCACCACAACCGTCCGCTCCTCCTCCCTCGTACTGTTCACCACCGATCCCACACCTACGCCCACTCCCAACACGTCCACCAAAAGCCTCTCATTGAACTGCTGATCCGCAAATAATGGCCATGTCACCATCGGCACGCCCGCCGCAATCCCTTCCATGCAAGAATTCCATCCACAGTGCGTCAGAAATCCTCCCACCGCCTCATGTTTAAGTATCGCAAGCTGCGGTGCCCATCCTCTTATCACAAACCCACCCGATCCATTTCCGGCGACGGGAACGTATCCTTCCTCCTCCAATCCCCCTCTCACCACCCACACAAAAGGCCGCCCGGCCGCCTCCAACCCCTCCCTGATCTCCCGGAGCTGCGCCGCCGGGAGCTGCGCCGCCGTGAAACGTGGCAGGCTTCCAAAACAGACATAAAGCACAGATCTTGCTTTCTTTCCATCCAGCCAATCGAAGACATCGGACGCTGCGGCGCCGCCCCTGTTTCTGATCGAATCTACAGACCAATGGCGGAGGAAAACAGGGCCAACGTTCCAGCCTCGCATCCAACCAGCGGACTTGAATGAGTCGGCATAGGCGGGCTCCAGTTCGTAGAACGTGTTCATAACCATGCCATAGGTTTCTTGAAGGGAAGCCGAAATCCCGGCCATGTACTCCGGCGGAGATATGATCATGGGGAATAGTTGGGATCGGGTCAACTTGATGTCATGAGGTAAGTCCGGGACTACAAAAGGCTCATCGGGGGAGGAAACGGAGTCATACAAGCGAAGTCTGCCGACGAGTCCCATGAGGGTGAAGGAGAAGTAACTGGTTCCATGAAAGGCGATCCGGGGAATGCCGTGGCGTTTGGCAAGTCCGGCGGACCACGGGTACAGGACGTCAGAGATGATGCAGTCGGGGCGGTGGGCGATTACGAGGCTTTCAAAGTGAGGTTCGAGGAGGCACAAGGAGGCGAAGAATTGGGGAGTGACTTCTGGGGTGCGCAAGCCGGTGAGATTTTCGGTGAGGTTTGGGGATTGGTCGGAGGCGAAAGGGATGGTTAGGAGATGGATATTGGGGCTATCGGAGCGGGAGAGAGAAGGGCGAAGAATTAGGTCGGCGTTGGAAGGGGTGGTGATGATGGTGGAGCGCGCGCCGCGTGCAGAGATGAGAATGGAGAGGTCGAGGATGGGGATCATGTGGCCGGGGGCGAGCAAAGGGAGGAAGAAGATGTGGAGGTCGGCGGCGGTGGATGCCATGGTTGATGGATGTCGAGCTAAGCTGCTGAATACAGTAGTTTGGTATAATTGGGGGGGGATGGGATTCGGGATTTATGGCAGGGGAGAAGAAGAACGCGTTGAGGGTGGATGTCAACGGATGTTTGCCGGAATGGATTAGGAAAAATTCTTCTTCCTCCAAAATTTTTTTTTTTTTTTTTTTTTTTTTTTTTCCTTGCGTGCATCAAGAAAATGCCAGCATAAGTTCAAAGAACATCCAACGGTTCAGAAGAAAGTATGATAAAGAAGTGACGGTAAATAGTCGACTAGAAGTTTCATTTATCGGATTGAATGCAATCATTTGAATCAATGATAAAAAGCTAATCGAGCCAAAAAAATAATGATACAACTCTGGATTGAACGGGCTTGGATGGACAAATCAAATTCGAGGAAACAATCCAATTCCTCACCATCATCAGTCTTCCCACGGATGCCCCCAAGGTTCTTTATTATGGACTAAGAATTGGACAACTTATCCTATAACGACCCCGTAAAGAAGGGACAGAAATGTTAAATCGCATATTATACCCTCTTTCCTATAAATAAAGAGATAAACTCATGAGAAAAAAATTAATAAACAAGATGTTTATTTATTGCACAGTATATAATCAGTATGATGCTTCTTATAAAACTCAAATTTAGGTGTCTTGAAAGTTCATTTTATTGTTCATGTCGCCTAGTACTCATTTGTTTGAGTAATTGGTAGACCTCTTTTTTGTATGTATCTATAAGGCTAAACAATGAGACACCATATACCTCCATCAATAGTCCACAAGACAGTGTCATGGTTGGAAAACCTTCTCCTATTGTTAAAATCGCCAAATTTACACATATTATCTTATTTTAATAAACTATGAATTATGTATTCATCATGATGTTGGATGATCGTATTTTAATATGTTAATTTATTAGCAAATTGGATACAAGCACAAAAAAATTCTATAGAAAATGCCCCAAAACTTGCTAAAAATTTACTTAATTCTCAAATCACTTCAACTCAAGTTTTAGTTGATTTCAAAGCACTACATCATAACTGAGCTTATATGTATGAAGAAATTATTGCAAGGATTTTTTTTTTTCATGAAATTTGTAATAGATAAATATTTACATATAATAAATTTTGAGATATGCGACAACTTCCTCATTTGTTTGTTTTCGAAATAGCCATCAAACTACTGTTTTTTATTTTAGATTTTCTTATATGAAAATATTTTTTAAAATCAAACCGGTTAAAATATGTCAATATTGATAAAATGATTGTTGTTTATTTTTTAAGAAAATATTTATAATATTCATAACTGTTGAATTCAAATATATTTTGGAGACATATCCAAAAAATTGAGTGTAGAGATCGAAGGAAATGAAGATAGAGAAAGAGAGGGAGAGAAAGAGGAGAGGAATACTTACCTTTTTTATTCCATGAATGATAGAGATTACCAGAGAGGAGAACCAAAAGCCCCTTAACATGAAAGGGCCTCCTATTTATTGATGATAGGAGAGCCAAAAGTAAATCACTGCATCACTCTAGCTTTAAAAGGGATATTAGCCACCCGATCCGATAAATCAAAAACCTCAAGTTGAATAATCGCAGTATAATCCTCTAGAGTATCCAATCATTTAGTCATAGAAGCCAAAAAAATAGAGGGGTGAGGCCCAAGAGTAAAAGAAAAAGGTCGGGAGAAACTTTCACCTTGCTCAAATACCTCATGTCGACTATAAACCCAAAAGTTTCGTTTAGAAATATGTTTCAAGGGTTGAAGGCGCTCCACCCAACTCTCATAAGAAACACTAGAATTTTGGCACAGAGTTGAGATAGTAGAAGGATGACTAAGACCGATTATAGACACCCCCCTATCGTATTTCAAATGGAATGAATAATAGTGGGCCCATCATCAATGGATTTTCCTATTTGAATACAAAAGTTCAAAGAGGCCCTATCCCTATTTACTTCACTTAAATTTGTAGAAGGTAGAAGCTTGGCAGATTTGGTAAAAAGTTCAGGGATTATCAGAATCAGAAATTCATTAAGAGTAGAGACACCACTTTTAATGAAATGGAGATGTACAAGGACATGGTCAGAACTCAGGATAGTCCGTCATTTACTTCTGAAGCATCCATATATATGGAGATAGAAGATATTGGTGATCATGAAGATGAAGAACGATGAAGTGCTCAACCAAACAAAGCACTAGAAGTTCCTCAATCACATGCTACAAAAGTCAGAAGATCAAGCAGAGTGATACAACTCATACGAAGGTATTCTTCTTCTTTACACTATTTGTTACTAACTGATAATGGTGAATTTGAGTGCTTTGAGGAGGCCACTCAAGTTGAAGACTAAAGGGTTTGAGAGCTCGTCATTGATGAAGTAATCTTTGGAGTCAAATCAGACTTGTGATTTAATGGTACTAGCAAATGACAAAAGAGCATTGTACAACAAGTAGATTTATAGACTAAAAGAGGAGTCAGATGGTAGAAAGTGTTATAAAGCAAGGCTTGTTTTGAAGGGTTCAGTAGAGGGAAAGAGTGAATTAGATAGAGTTCTTCTCCACAGTGGTGAAGATGAATATTGTCAGGGTTTTACTGAGTCTAGTAGCAGAAGAAAATATACATCTTAAGTAGATAGATGTAAAAGTAGCTTTATTACACGGAGATCTAGATGAGGAGCTATATATGGTGTAACCATAAGGTTATAAAGTTCCAAACAAAGAGGGCTTGGTCTGCATATTGAAGAAGAACATTTATGGCTTGAAGCAGACCCCAAGACAATGATACATCAGATTTGACAAGTTTTTGTTAGAAAATGAGTATTTGAAGTGCCAGGAAAGCCATTATTGCTTCATCAAACACTTTGGTAACTGCTATATTATACTTCTTTTGTATGTGGATGACATGCTAATTACAGGGACTAATATGGAGAAAATCAAGGACTCGAAGAAATAGTTATCAAGTGAGTTCAAGATGAAGGATTTAGGTACAACTAGGAAGATCCTTGAGATGAGAATCAACAGAGGCATGATTACAAGAACACTAAAGTTATCTCAAGAAGAGTATGTTGAGAAGATCCTACAGAGGTTCAAACATTTAGTACTCTATTTGATAGTCACTTCAAACTATCTAAGGAGATATCTCCTAACTCTGAAGCAGAGCAAGGACACATGAAGAGAACTTTGTATGCTTAAGTAGATGGAATTTTGATGTATGCGATGATTTGTACCATACTATATGTTGCATATGCAACAAGAGTGGTATGTAGATACATAGGTAATCTAAGTAGGAATCATTGGGAGGCAATAAAGTGGATTCTTAGGTATTTGAGAGAAACAATCAACATGACACTTTATTGTTAAAGTGCGGGGATCAATCTACGAGATTTGTAGACTCAGATCTAGCAAAAGATGTGGACAGTAGGAGAAGTACAACGGGGTATATTTTTTCATTGGAGAGTACAACAATGAGTTGGGTTTCTAGGTTGTAGAAGATCGTTACACTTTCAACTATTGAGGCTAAATTTATTGCTATCACTGAGGTTAGCAAGGTGGTGATTTGGCTACATAATTTCATGGCAGAAGTAGGCAAGGAGCAGGGGATTGAAAAATTCTATAGTGACATTATGAGTACGATTCATCTTGCTAAGAACACTGATTTTCATGCCATGACGAAACACATTCAGCTAAGGTATAATCTCATTCACTCTCTTCTTGAAGATGGGCAGTTGTTCCTGGAGTAGATACATACAACTCAGAATTTTGCAGATATATTGATGATGGTTGTGACTATCGAGAAACTAAAACTATGCTTGGCTTCAGTTGTGTTTCATGAAGGTTGAGACTGGGGGTAAGCCACACCACAGTACATGACTATGAAGGTGCTTTAGATGGAGGTGCGGGTACAGAGGACTGATACTCGGTGCTTTTTTTTTTTCCAAGTTGTAGATTGTTATGATGTTTGGAGACAAAGCAGGGGACTGGATGCATAGACGCCGACTATGGGTGCTCAAGCGCCCACTGGGCGCTCCTCATAGTGGAGCCGACGCTTAGGTGCCTGCTTTAAGCGCATATGTGACCACATCCAAAGGGACCATCGCCTACGTGTCGATCTATTAACACCTGGGCGCCCATTATTGGGCACTGACAAAGGGCTTGGTGCCTAGGCATCGGTGCCCAGGGTAGTTTTCTTTCGGGATGTCCTTTTAATCCTGATTTTGAGCAGTTTATAAGGGGGCTTTGAGTTTCTTTGTTCTAAATCATTTGATGAGCATCTCAGTGAAGGTGAGGAGTGACGAGGGAATGGATTTTAGAGATTCGACGTGATTTTGCGTCAAATCAAAAAGAAAAGATTGTGGAACGAGTCCTGTAAGTTTTCTTTGTGTGGAGAGAAAACTTGTGTGAGTTCTTTGTAAAACCTTCTAAACTTTATAGCAAAATTTCAGGTGGTGTGGCTCCGTGGTTTTTTCCCGTTCTCGGGTTTTTCCATGTAAAATTCTCACGTGCTTGTATGGTTATTTTGATTTTGTTTTCCTATTTATTCTTGTTCCAGTTTTCTTGAATTGGTGTGACATGTTATCCTGTGGTATGGTTTAGTTTCTAATTGACCCTAAGCCCTGATAAATTTGAGAATTGTATTTCGCAATATTTCCAATCATGCTAGTGCTTCGCTTCTGATTGATTCTTAATATTTCAAAGAAGAATGTCATTAAATTTTAATTCTTGTAATGAATTTTGGCGAACTTATTTACAAGAACACAAGTTCATAACTTGAATTATCTATAGTTTTTAGAAGAGAATTTTTTTTGCCGCTGGTGAGCCCAAAAGACAATATACTGGTTTCGAAATCTGAAGTTCATGATAAGAAAGTATTCCCTTAACACTGTAATTGATAAGTGTGCTTTAGAACAGAAAAGTTATTGAGTTCAATGCCTACAATAAATGACCATGATTGAGGTTTTTTTTTTGTTTTAGAAGGAGAACTAACACCAAAATGCTTTAAACTCCTGTGATAAATGAGGAATGCAAATGAGATTATATATTTTGTATAAGACCTGCATGGAAAATAATTTATCAGAATATTTTGATATAATATTGATCAAAATAAAATTTTAAATTATCTGATTTTTATATGTAAATTCATTGTTATACATGAA